TCAGGGCAGGTTTGGCTGGCTGGAGTGTTGTGGGGATCGAACTACAGCAACCTGAGGCTGACAGCTTTGTGGAAGCAGCCACTTAACGAACTGAGCTAGGGCCAGGCCCCCTAATGTATTAATTATTGAAACTGTGCTAGTAATCAGTTTTGATACTGTCTCATTGCTATTTGTTTCTCAATAAATTTTTTAAAAATCGTATGGTAAAGGATTTACTACAGAACTTGTCAAAAATTCTACCAAGTGGTTTCTAATACTAATCTTTTTTAGCTTGCAGAGAAATTAAAGAGATTTCCTAAATAATTCAAAGGTCAATCGAAATGATATTAAGAGTACATCATAACCTCATAGTACGGTTTACTTATATATCAAATATTCAGTCAAATTCAGTACTACAAACATGAATTTCATAAATATTAGCCTTAATAAATGTTTTTCACTGAGGAGTTACAATTACAAAACTTTAAACTTACCTAACCTCTGAGAAAATTCATAAAATTTCTTTAGTTTGCCTACTAACGGAACAACTGCACCCCAGGCCTTCTCTTGCAACTTTTCATCTGCTGGATGTTGGATTGCCTTCAAAATCCAAAGAATAAAAATAGTTAAGAGTTTAAACATAGAAATAATACCATTTTCACTTTAAAATATACAGGTTTTAGCACATGTAGGATGCCTTCTTAGTTCTTTGAAAGGAAACTTGAAAATTAGGCAATAAATGAAGATGACAACTCTGGGAACAGCTTAGCAGACAGCCAATGATTCAATTTCTATGGTCTGATCAAGATCTTAAGAAATCTAGCAAATGCTCAGAACCCTAATCAACCTCCAAAGTATCATTCAGAAACTGTAGCAATGCTTACTCTCTATACCTAAAATCCTCATCTGTATTTCAACTTTTCTCAGGTTTTCCTTGAAACTAGTAAACTAGTTTCAAGCTGAAGAGAGGTAAAAAAAAAAAAAAAACCCACAATGTGGAGAATTTTAATATAAACACAATTCTGTTTGATCTAAACCATTCTTACAAGCTATTAGGCAACCTCTTCTGAATACCAAGGGCTAGCCTAAATAAACATGTTCTTCCTTTCCATGAGAGACTGCCTTTATTGCAGAACATAATGCTTTGCTTTCTCTAACACTGTAAAGAAATTTAAACACACCATCTGAGGCTGCAGTTCACAAAGTAGAGGCCTGCTTATGGACACTATCAGAAATACTAACATGTTTAGATTTTCCCATCACAGCTGACGCTATACCAAAAAAAAAAAAAAAAAAAAAAAAAAAAACCAAGAGAAACTAAACCTAGTTAGAGTTAAAAGGGTGCTTTAAGTAAATATGCTACAAATCAAATAAACGGGCTATGAACTGTTTATATATGATTATTCCCAAATTTTCTTTTTTTAATAAAAATACTTGAATGTGTAAGCCTAATAGTTTGAAGTCAATTTTACATGACTACCTAAAAATATTAAAGAAAATCTAACATCACACCATGTAACACTAACATGTCAGTCTTTGATGTTATATTAAAAAAGCCATCCAGCCTCAAGTCCAGACTTACTGTTTTATATTGAGTGCTATAAATTTGTTTTACTTATTATTAAAGAAATAAACTGGTGAAAATTAAAATATCATTCATTCCTTGTGAGGAGCCCTTGTAACTTTCTTTGCAAGTGGTCTAGAAATGACTTGCTAAGCATCAATTCATTCACACAATATGAAAATGAAAATGCTCCAATGAATAGAACATCATTCATTATTCCAAGTACCAGAATGTGTAGACAGCCATTCTACAGCACCACTTGCATGGAGATTACCTTCATAAGCCAACTAAAAATTGACAGGCATGTGCACTTACTAGCAAAAGCTGAGCAATTTTCCTAACGACTATTCTTTTTCATGGGGAGAATGGTTTTTCACTCTCCTCAGCCTTGCTAATTAAATGGTAACATTAAAGTCAATATTGGGGCCAGGGAAACAGCTCCGTGGCACAAGTGCCTGCCTGGCAAGTGCAAGGTCCTGAGTTCAATTCCTGATTAAAAAAAAAAAATCAATATTGATGACAGTTATGAAAATTATATCAGTTCTTTGGATATGTGGCATATATTCAGCTTTTATATGCAACTTAATTTCAGCTGATATTCATAAGCCTTGTCTATTTTATACTATTAAACTTAACAACATTCATCTCAATGAAAATTTCTTCAAATGTTCAAATTGTTAACATATTTGTCCCTCATTTATAGATTATAAAAAATATTTATGCACAGCAATTTTTTATAAAGGCTTATTTTATCAGTAATATTACTAAAACTTATTTTAAAGTAAAGCTTATATATACTTTACCTACTTTCCTGTCCTTAATTTCTTTAAAAAATTTCTACCACTGAACTATAATCTCTAGACCTTTTAAAATTTTAAGAAAGGAAACTGCCCAGCTTGGGCTGGAATTGCAATCCTTCTGCCTCAGCCTCCCGAGCAGCTGGAGTTATCAGCATGTGCCACCACACTCGGCCCCTTTGCCTTACACTAAACATCCGAGAAGCCATCAAATCTCTTTTTTATCAGTTATTTACTTATTGGCACAAGGTCTCATTATATAGCTCAGACTAGTAGTGATGCTCCTGGCTCAGTCTCCCCAGTGCTGGGATCATAGGCTTGTACCACCAAGCTCCGTTTGGTGGCTGGCACAGCATGGCTGGGGTTCTGGGGCCCGCATAGCACACAGTACTGGGGATAGAATCTGGGTCCGTGTGCTCGCCAGACAGGAACTTAAGACCTCCAAGCTATCTCCTCAGTCCCCCATCACATCTCTTGAACTACCACCTTCTAGAGTCTCCACCGTAGGGTCAGCCAGACAGCTCAGTGGATTAAAGCGCCTGCTTAGGCAGACTCAGGGACCGGGGTTCGATCCCCACTATGTCCTGCTGGCCCCATCCCCAGGGCATGCTGAGACGGCAACTGAGACTAGGCGTGGCACGATGGTGCACACCTGTAATCCCAGCGCTTGGGGGGCTGAAAACAGGAGGATCACTACAAGTCTGGTCTGTGTAGTGAGATCCTGTATTAAATACATATTAAATAAATAAATTAGAGTCTGTATGTTACTCTGACTTCTCTGGTATTCCATAACTCAGAAAAGAAAACCAAGCTGATTAGGGGTGATAACCCTATGCACTGGTTGCTGATGACCTCTGTGCTATTTATTACTGACAATAAGAGAATAGAGAGCAGATAAACAAAATGGGAGTGCTCCCATTAGGAAATGCAGGGATATAAAAAGACGAAATTCCAAAAGCTCGGGAACTTGAGTATTACAGGACAACTAAATAAGTCTGTGTTGAGGGAAGACCCCAGAAAGAGGACAGCAAACATAATTAAGAGTAATTTATACACTAATGTTCCAGAATAAGATGGAGAGTTAAGGTACTGGATATTGGCTTTAGTAAAAGCAGAGGAAAAACAGCTTCGGAAAATTACAAGAATGGAAGAGTAGTGGGCTGGAAACCTGGATAAACTCAGAGGTTTGGAGAAAAAAGCAGAAGGAGATCAAACCACACACTTTCCTTGTGGTGAGAGTCACTGGAGAGAAGGAGGTGAAGGTAGAGAAAAAGTGAGTGATTCCCACTTTCTCCTAACAAGCTTCACAGTAGAAAAACAGACTGACAAAACAAAACCATGGGAAGTTAAGCTCTGCTCCCCCTTTCCTAACAATAAAAAGTATAATTGTTCCCCACAGAAAATGTCAATTTCAAGTGTAAGAGTAACCAATAAATATAAGTAAATAAACCTTTAATATAAAGTACATATGTATGAAGGGTTCTTTTTACCCTTATATCACTGCAACCACTTATAAAAAGAAATCAACTGATATTCCTTCAAATATACTTGACACGAAATGGAAAATTCTAAAGTTCAGAAAACAATAAAAATTAAAAGCAAGTGAGACAGTTTTAGCCTCCTAAAAGGCTCCTAATTGTGCTTTACCTCTCGTATTTCATGGCCAGCTCCTCTGTAGGACTGTAAATCCTCCAAGATGCCTTCAGCATCTTTCAATACTACATTCACCTGGTTATAAATTTCCTTCTCAGACTCTGTAGGCTGGGCATCTAAACAGCAGGGAAGCACAAGAAAATTTACAGTAACATGAATTTTTAAAAACATATATATAACTCTAAGCCATTCACAATCCAAATTTCCACCAAAGAGTTACATTTTACTCAGTGTCAACTTTGATACATTTTCCAAAATTAGCCTCAAGTTTATAAAATTACAGAAGAAAAAAACTAGCAGTTGGTACTATTTAACATTTAATTAGGTTCTAAATCATTACCTGGCACAATAAACCAATCTGAGAACTATAATTAAAAAATATAATTCTGTTATCTATATTGATCAATTTTACATCACATTTATTACTACACTAGTGACTAAATGCATAAGTAATGAGCAATTGTAATACAACAGAAATGAAAACCTACTAAAACTTTGTTGATCTACAGTTTTAAATTGACATGATTGTCCTATATTTTACTTTTAAGTAGGCTTTAGTACAGAAAAAAGTAACAACTTCTCAAAAGTATTTTTAGATGCTCCCCTTTCCTAGAGACCACTTTAAATTATCTTGGCAAGTATGATCAGATAAGTTAAAGGGAAGATACTGTATATACAAGTAAGACAAAATCAAGGTAGTATTACCAAATTTCTTTGCTAATGAACACAAGGCCAAGAGTTCTATGCAGAGGAGTCTGTGACAGTTACTAAACTGCTCCAGAACTCTTCACTTTATATTACAAGATAATTACAGAAATACAAAAGCAAAAATTGAGTTCCTACACACTTGGTTCTGAGACAAAAATGAAGGAAAAATTGGTTAGAATGAGGGACATGAACATAGCCATCTTCACCACCTGTGGTATATGCCACAAAACGTGTTGAAGGATGATGAAATCTGGATTTCTTTATTAGACTTGAGGTAACAGAAGTCCTATTTTTACTAACAGTCATTTGTTTTTCTAAGGACAAATGTTTTCAATCTTTTTTTTCTTTAAAAACAGTATGGCTCCACAAGGAAAGTTTTTCATAATTTCCAACTACACCATATTTGACACTGCAGGTAAGGAAGGCATAATGCACTTAAAATGATAAACATTATGATTGTATTAGAGCAGAATTATGTTAGCAAGATTCTTCCATGCTAAAATTTTCTCTTATGGGGGAAGGAGGCAGTATTTATAGCCGAATTAAGAATATTTCTGGCAAATCTCAGGGTCTACCAAGTATGTAAAACTACTATTTAGACTTTCTGTCTGTATCCACTTCACCTTCCTGCAAACAGAAAATAATCTATTTACTCCTTTCCTTGAAAAATTAGAAGAAACATTTTATATATGAAACTAGGAGTTAAAGATGTCATGAAACTATTTTGCACTTGGGGGAAGCCATACTTCAATTCTATCTATGGAGCCTGCCAGCTAGTCAAAAACAAAACATGTTTCAAATTGTATCAAATTTAAAGTTCAACATACATAATTCAGTACTACAGCAATAATAAAGTGACAACTATGTGCAAAGCGAACTTTAAAAATTTGTGTTTATCAATGTTTTTCAAATTTCTTTTCAGAAAATACATTAAAAATTCTATGAGAAAATAATTATACAAAAAGAGCCAAGTGGTATATTAAAAGACTTGTGTTCAAAGTGATAAGGACATGCTGTGGGAGAAACACTGATATTGCAGCTAAAGGACTGGATTTTTTATAAATCAGTCTGCCACTTAACAGTACCACTTTTTTTTCACATTTTATCCAGACCATATTTTCCCAAGGAATACTTAAGACACACAAAAATAAGCACACCCATAACTTTTATACTTACACCAGATGCAGCAGAAAAAAAATGCTTTTTACATGCACAAGTGACAGTTTTATACTCTTCCATATGGAATTGTGGAACTACAGACATAACATCAATAATAGACACATATTATACTTTGAATTCATGAAGTGGGAATTCATGACAAAGGACAATATTTTAACCTATTATGTATCAGAGGCCCTTGTGAAGTTTGAAAATACTAAAATATGAATTTTTGGTATGGTGACTAACTGTTAACACAAAAATGATGCTGAGACTTACATATAAAAGAAACATTATCAAGCAGACTTAAATAGACCTTGTAAGTAGTTAATGGCTAATAAAGGCTTAATAAGTAACAAGAAATTTAAAAATAAAGGGGAAGATTCATGTTTCCCTTAAGGACGGAAAAACCACCCAGCACCACATTGATTCAATATTTTTAAACTGCTATGGGAAAGTCACATTTATAATTTTGAAAGCTGCTGAAGACTGCTGTAGAAATGAAGACAAACAGAAAATAGCAGACAAGTAAGCACTAATTTAATGAAAGCGAGACATGCAAAGGGCCATAGTACCAAGGAAGGAAAAAGATTGTAAAATAAAAGTCTTTTTTCTTTTCAAAAATCGGTATATAATATAATGTAACCAAGACTTGTCACTTTGATTTTTTTTGGAGCAAGAAATGCCTTACTGTTTCAAGAAAAAGGTACCATTTAGCCTGCTAACAAAATTCCAAAATAATATGATTTACTATTTTTTACTCAGGCTTAGTTTTCAAAACTGTTCCAGGATGTTACAGCATGTTTCAGTTGCTCTTTAAGCTTTTGAAGATAAAATTGCATGTTTTCATAATTTCACACTGATTTCCTACAGAGTATATAAAAACTATTAAAAATCAAAGTTATTATAATAAAAAATTAAGAAACTACTTATGAAAGGAAAAAATTAAAATCAAATGAGTATAAAAATAACTACAGCAAGGTGGCCCATGCCTATAATCCCAGCACTCAGGAGGCTGAAGCAGAAAGATGATCTTGAGTTCAAGGCCAGCCAAGACTACATAAGCAAGTTCGAGACCAACCTGCACTATACAGTGAGACCCTGTCTCAAAAAATAATTATAATAACAATTATAGTAAGATGTTTTTCTGCTTTAACCTTTCATTCCTTCAATGAATATTTATAATATATGTCCATGTGTTTCATAAAAGCAGGGGCCAGAATGCCTAAATATTATTGGTATAGTATGTAAACTCAGTATTTGGTGAATTTTCTATAATAATTACATTTTGACTGAATGAGAAAGCAAACAAATAGGCCTCCAGCATGAATTGAAGGAAGCTACTAGGCATTGTGATCTCTGAACAATATAATCCCACATAATTGCATTTTTTAAAAAGTGCAATGCCAACGGAATAAAGCACATGTAGGGCAAAAGCAATTTAAAGTATGCAAGAGATAAATTCTTTTTAAAGTCAGACTAAAGAGTGTGTACCAGTATTCTTAAATGAAGGTAGGAAACAGGCAACACAAAAAGACATGAGGAAAAAGTGTAGAAGTCAACATAGTGGCACTGTTTAACAAAGAATCAGAGAAAGCAGTTTTTTTCTTTTATACATGATCACCTCTATTCTCTATTTTGATCTACCTTGATGTAAGTAAGTTAACTTTAGAAAATACTGACCGTCTACCATTTAGAAAGCATTTTACTAAGGCTGAGAAGGGACACAAAAACAAAAATCCTCTTCTCCCATGAAGCAGAATTTAGTTGAGTTAGTAGATGTAGTAGTTATCCAAACTAAAGATGTCATTAAAATGAACCAAAAATTAACAATGTTGTTCTTTAGAACCAGGATATTCCAGGGAGGAAGAGAGATTATTAGACGATACAGGTTCCATTCAATGTTTATTAAACAAAACTAAACTAAAACCCTATCCCCTATCCATAGATGTAACTGATGGAACTGCTGGCCCTAAAGGACATTATATTTCACAAAACTTGAAATGACATTTTATGCCTGAAGAAGGTGAGGCTTCTTTACAGTGTCCTTCATTAAATTAGCTTGAAATATTCTAATTCACACTCTAACTTGAACGTCACCATCAGAATTCTTTCATGATGATGTCCAATCCATTCTCTTCAGTTACTACCTTCTGATCAGTATTTCTGAACGTAAATTATGTTAATAAAATTATGGGTCTGCATTTGTATCTACTCAACTAAGAACTCCCATAAGCAGGGCTGTGTCTCATTACCTTTGTATCCCAGCATTGACTGGCTGGTAAACAGGAGGCAATTGTGCATTAAGCTGAAGGAAAAACAGAATGCGGACAGTACAGGACAAGGGGGTAATGACTTTCTTTAAAGACAGTCATCATTTTGTGAGCCACAAATTACATTTAAATCATGTTTCAAATACATCGGAATATTGAATTTGAATACAACCCAGTGCAAAAAACCTCAAGTGTATCTGACAGGAATTATTTCCATATTGCCCAATCACAAAGACATGCTGGGCTAGAGTTAACCAATTATAATAATGGTTGTAACTCAATTATGCTGGTGACCTGTACATCACTTCAAATCTAGAAATAAGCAACACAGTATTAACTACTGAATTTAATAAAAATAATTTGGCTTTATTTTACATAATAACCAGGAGCTAGCAATCCAATTGTTTTGACAATTTTGAGTCTTGCATAAAATAGTTTAAGGGAGGACCACCTGATGGGCCAAAATCTCTGTAATAGCCTAACGATAAGGTAAGGTTTCACAAGCATGTATTTTCCAAAAGAAGAAAAATATGCAAATATGTAAGACAAAAAAAGAAAACACCAATGTCAGAATGAAAAGAAAACATACTTAAAAATATAAAGAAGTAACAATGAGCAAGCACAATGTCTTTGTTAAATTTCATTTACAGTATACTAGGAAGGTCAAACCAAACATTCTATACTGGCTAACAGAGGCAAAAAGTCATTTTAAAATTTATGCCAGGCTTGGTAATGCATGCATGTAATCCCAGCAATCAGATGGTTTATATAAGGGATCACTGTAAGTCTGAGGCCAGCCTGGGCTACACAGTTAAATTAAAAGCTATGAATTATATAGAGAACTCCTGTCCAAAAAAAAAACAAAGACAAAAAAACAAACAAGCAAAAAAACCAGCTGGGTATCATGGCACAGGCCTGGAATCCCAGTACTTGGGAGGCCAAGAAAGGAGGATGGTCTTGAGTTCGAAACCAGCCTGGGCTACATAGTGAGTTCAAGCCTGCCTGAGATATGTAGGGAGACCGTGTCTCAAAAAAGAAAATACACCTGGCAAATATAAAGGGCTAAGTTCAATCCCTGGTTCCACCAAAAAAAAAAAAAAAAAAAAAAAAAGGAAAAGGAAAAGAACAAAAAAGTTGTGAAGTAAACACCCTGCATGTAATTCTAAAATTATTATTATTATTGTCAGCAATTTGAATCTCCTCCTGCCACTAAGTTAAATTTTAAGGGTAACAATCCAAACACCCAAAGACTGGAAAGTCAAGACCAAATAACCTTTCTAACAGTACATGTAACAGTACAGTCTATGCTTCCCACTTGACCACAACATAATGTTGGTTTTATAAAAAGATCAAGTGCCAAGTCTTGAACAAGATCTTGACTGTATCAGAGCCAAGATTCTGCAAATTTAAGAAATTTGGGATGAAGAAAAAGGAGACAGAAAAGAAGAAAAGTATACAAGACCAAGTGTGAAACAAATGCAAATAAACTAAAATACAGCTTTTACGGTAAAGTCGCCTCATCTGAAAGAAGAATCTTCAAGTCAGCAATCTGCTCAACGTCCTCAAGCTGATTAAAATTCATGCTAAACATGCACTTAAAAATAGCACTGTTAAATTGTTGAGAAGGGTCAAGAAAACTAACTTTTTTTAATACCATTCCCCCAATTCAACAACTTAATATGGTCCTGATAATTATATCACCACTCTTTACTAGCCTGCACACAGTATTCAAACTGTAACAGATCATCCATAGAAATGTAAAAGTAGAAAAATATCAGAGACCACAAAGTATTCTATAAAAAGGAGACAGACCATATAAATTGAACTGTTCTAGTTTAAAGAAAATATATATATGTATATATATATATGATTCATAAAACAATGAATTGTACACAATTATAAAAACTAAATTAAAGGTGGGAAAGACAATGACTGCTGGGGACTTATTTTAATGAGAGATGGTTTGTTTTCTAAAGTCAGAAAAGTCTTAAATTTTAAGTATATAAAAATCTGTTCAAATGCATTAACCTCTGGTAGAAATGTAAAGAGAATCATATTAAAATCCTAAAAGCTATCTCTTCACCCATTCCTAACAATTTTCTGATAATCAGTTAAAATAGCAACATTCGCATTAAAACACCAATTTAATATCATTTTTCTCAGTTTTGACAACCAGACAAGCTAAAGCAATACAGACAGCCAAAAAAAGCAAGAGCTCTGCAGCATGCACTGAGGTCAATGACACTTACCTGCCACTCTCAGACCATATTACAATAGGTCATGCAACATGAAACAAACAGAAGGCAAATTACTTAAAGGTCTGTGAACCTATTATTTTTCTTTTTATTTACAGTTAGAAAAAAAAAAGAATTCCTGAAATAAATACATGAAGTCAACTTTAACTTTTAAATTAACTTCCAAGACTGAATAATTTAGGTTCACACTTACCTTTTAATATTATGCCCAAATTACTGAGCTCTGAATAGCCTTCATGAACAGATTTGTGTTTAAAATACTTGTATATGCATATTAAGTAGTAGGAACGTAATCATTTTTTCTCAACTGCTATATAATTTTTCCCAAATATGTCTTCCATTAATAAATCTTGAGGTAGTATTTTCCTTTCCACCAAAATTTTTGCATTAAAATGTTTTCATTATAGATATCAAATTATACCATAATCTCCAATTAAGAGATATAAAATCTCTTATAAAAATTCAAAGGCATCGCCATAATTTAATCTATAAAATACGACTTCCAGTTCTAGAAGGCACCAGAAATTTCTCTCAAACAATTCATAGCTCAGTCATGCAAAGCAGTTAAAAAGATGGCGAAGTGAAAACATTCATTTAGTGCAAGACAGACGCAGTCTACTGCAGGCAAAGAGAAATAGATATAAAATCATCTTCTCACTTTCAAAATCAAGGAAAAAATTTGGCCCCTGCTCAAGGTCTGTGCATGTCAAAACTTTAAGAAGATTCCCCATGTTAAGGTACCTGTCAAGACAAGAATGAGAAAAGAGAAAATATCCCTTTATAAAAAAGAACATCTCAATTTTATTTAAAAAAAAAAAAAAGTAACAGGGAAAATGTTCATTAGGCCATGAATTCATCCTTCGGGTTACCCAGACTGTGCTCTGGTAGACAGCAACCGGGTTTTCAAGGTGTTGATATGTAGGACCTAGAGGTGAAATGTGGTTTTTCCTCTATACAATGGCACAACTCTTGCTCTAATTCTTCTCAAAATTCTCCCAAGACAAGTTTCATTAATGGCCTTATAATGAAAAATTCTTTAAGTATTCCAATAGTGCTAGTATTCTGAAAAAGAAATTTCTCATCAAGAATTATTCACATTTGATTTTGTTAGTATAGCATTGAAACATTTTTCAAAGCCAAATATTAAAAGGTTTGGCCAAAGCTCACCTTTGTATCTCCTTTAAAAATAGCAGAATATAAAAAAATTACTTCCTATACGTAATTAAACAGTATATTTTTAACAAAATTTGGATCATCAATAATTTGTGAAGGTTATTTAAAGTGTTGGTTTCAGATATGCAGCACAATTTTTAAAAAAAACTATTGTAAGATTATAAGCAAATGGACTGTTTGGCATAGTCACTAAAGCATACTATTAGAATGTTCATCATAAGGCTACTTGCTTCATGGACTAATGAAAGGACAGCACTGGCTACAGACTCAACATGATTTTAGCAAATGAAAAAAAAAAGAATTATACATATGATGGTGATGTTTGCCTACAATTAAGAAAAATATCATGCAACCTTTATTTGATCCCCATGTTTAATCAACAATTATTCTGGCTGGCCTTCACCGTGGTGTAAATATAATTCATCTTTCACCTTTACCATTATGCACCAGCTGTGAAGGGCTAAAGAGACTTACTTTCAAAGTCCAAGAAAAAATGTGCTGCATTGTGGTCTATGTCCCTGGTTAGCACCTTAATGAGATTACCCATGCCAGCAAACCTAAAAATAAAAATGGCAACATCATTTAGTTCCAGTAAAAAATTTTATGCAGAGGCCTGGGATTTGGCAAAGGCTGGCTTGCTCATAATTACCAACAGGTGCAGGTTTATATGCTTCTGGCATTAAAAATTTGGAACAACAAAAGTACATTTGCCTGAATTTATAGTTCCTGTCCCTCTTTTTCCACATGTCAAAAAAAAATTACACAAAGCAAGATGAGAAAAAAAGATCATATTTTTACATAGAACTTGCAATATTTGCATTTGAGTAATACCTACATTAATGTTGCTACTTAAAAATTTTAAGGTATATCTCCTCAATTAAAATTAAAACCAAAACTAGATTTTTCAGTTAAGTAAATATAGAGACCATTACTTTTAAATTAATAGGGATATTTTCCTTCTTGCTAAACAAAATCCTATTGGAAATACAAACAAAATAGTATTCAAACCATATTTAACCATTAAAGTAAAAAGAATTGATTCATTAATGATCCATTTAAAAAGTTACCACACAAGCCCCAACATTTCTTATACTTTCCATTTAATTAAACATTTATCACTTAATTCTTCAACTGATTATCAACTATATATAACTAGGTGGTATGTGCTTTAAACAAGTACACAAGGAAATTACAACTAAGTTTACAGAAGGGAAAAATGTAAAACTAAAGCATCAGCATAAAGGTGGTGTCCCAGGAACTCAGGAAACCAGGTCTGCACCTGGGGGCTGGAGTGACAACAGGGAGGGCAAACGATGGTATCAAGGCTGCCCATATGTTCCCTTCCTCCCTCTGCAGTACTTTTTCTCCAAGACTGAACTGCCAGCATATGTAAATACAGCAAAGCATCAAAGCAGCAATATTCTTACTAATAAAAAACACCCTGTCACTCACCTCCATTACAAGAAATCTGAAAGGAACTAACCCTGGGGGTCTCCCACATGGTCCCTGGTCCCAGAAATAGCTCGTGTTCTTGTCAATTTCTCAGATACACATATGAGACAACTTCTTGCTTACAAATAGAAGTCAGATGGATGGAACATATTTCTCATATAAAGGAATCTGATTTACTCACAAGTATGAGTATTTACTGAGTGGTCCTCTGAGTAAAGAATACCTATGTCTGATAGTATTTTCACAGTATGATTCTGTACAATGTTTTGCCTAAGTGGATCAACAGATAATTCAACGGATTAGCTGAAATATTTAAGATTTTATTATGAATATCTTATAACACTGTAAAAGTATAATGCTGAGCTTTTATATTTCAGGAAAAGATTATTTTTCCTAAATTATCACATTTAAATTATCTCAAATTGGTTACTAGATTTATTCATTAGATTTCTGAAGGAACCATTTGGAAATAGTATTTCATAGCATTAATTTTCAAAAACTTTCACATATATACAAGGAGTATATTTCCAAACACATATATTCTCTTACTAACAAGAACTGAAACCAGATATACAAAGAATTATTGAGCAGTAGCAAACTGCCCACTGTAGACAGAAAATACATCATAAAAAAGAACTATAATCTGTTTTTAACAGAAAAAAAGGCATATATCACTTACTGTAAAAAGTTTACATTAGCAAACCAGAACTCCAAGTCTAACTTCCTGGGCCTTTCACTTTAAGGATAACTGTTAACTTCTCTGGGATTCATTTCTTGATCGGTACAACAAACCCGGTGTCTGATATGCATAAAGCATTAACATATGACACTTTATAATAAAAAATCATACAATCACTCTTTTAAAAAAATAGCTCTTTTAAAACACAAAAAAGTTTTCAACTTATCAATGAGTTTTAATGCTCTAAAGGAGAACCCAAGATAGCCCCATAGTTAGCCCACATATTTTGTTTTGGCCTTTTTTTTTTTAATGTTGTGTATTTAGTACAGGTTCTGACTACGCAGCTCACTATGCAGTGATCCTCCTGATTTCAGCCTCCCCAGAGCTGGGACTATAGGCATGTGCCACCCCCGCCCCCAGTCTCGGTGGGCTGCTCAGCGTGGCATGACTAGGGATTGAACCCTAGTCCCTGTGCTTGCCTAGGCAGGTGCTTACTTAGTCCACTGAGCTATCTCTCCAGCTCTTAACCCATTTACTTTAAGGATACTACTGAAATGTCCCACAAGTAGTCCTCTGAACAGAAGACTATCATCAGGGTCAGGAAGGTGAAAAGGCACAGATTAGGGTTCTATACCTTTTTATGTGGGTGCCCACAATCGCCCTTCAGGAAAACGCTGGACCTGGCCAGATTCACTTGCCCATCCTCCCATTCACTTCTGCAAACTTCCTGCACTAGGTCAGTTGCTCTTTCTAGGCTCTCAGCCTTACATGGTTCTACATCCTCACTACTGCTTGAGAACGGTCCTGCCTATTCTCCACAAAGTCCTTGATTTACAATTTCTTGTCTTTTCATTCCAGGTACAGACATTTTGAAAATGAGTCAATTTATTCAGTATACTGTTTCTCATCTTTGGCACTATTAAAATTTGGGGCTGAAAATTCTTTGTCATGGGAGCCTCTTACGTTGTACAATATTTAGCAGCATCCTGGGCCTCAATCCACTAGATACGGTAGTAACTCTCACGCACAAGTTAGGACAACCAAAAATGTTTTTGCCAAATAGCTCCTGGAGGGGACTAAAGCACTGCTTAGGCAGGCACAGGGACTGGAATTTGATCCCCAGCATGCTGTGCCAGCCCCGTTCCCGGGGTGCACTGAGATGGTGACCGAGACTAGGCGTAGTGGTGCCCACCTGTAATCCCTGTGCTAGGAGGCTGAAAACAGGAGGATCACGACGTCAGATTGTGTCATAGGACCCATACTAAACACATTTTTTAAAAAAAGAATAAGAGGCCAGGGGTTCAATCCCCAGGTCTGCCGTGCTGGCACCACCCCCTGGGCACGCTGAGATGGCGACTGAGACTGGGCATGGTGGCGCATACCTGTAATCCCAGCTCTTGGGAGGCTGTAAACAGGCGGATCACTACTTGAGTCCTATCTACGCAGTGAGACCCTGCACACCCTGTAGACCCCTTCCTTAAAATAAATAAAAAATAAAAATAGCTCCTTGGGGCAAAATCACCACTCGTTGAGGACCATCTATCTAGCATAACTGCTCCCCAATGCAGAAATTCCCTCTACCATGTAGCACAGAGGACAGATGCAATGTAAGAAACCCCTATATCACTGGTCTCTTTGAATAACAATTCACAGAACTTTTCAAAGATCTGAAAAAAAATTCCTTTATAAACAGTGCCAATTCTATCTTTTATAAAGACAAAGAAAGAAAAAAAGCCCGGCCACATAGCTCAATGGACTGAAGTGCCCCCTCCTTAGGTAGGTACAGGGACTGGAGTTCGAGCACCAGCATGCTGTGCCAGCCCCGCCCCCAGGGCATGTGTGACTGAGACTGGGCACGGTGGTGGGCGCCTGTAATCCCAGCACTTGGGAGGCTGAAAACAAGAGAATCACTACGAGTCTCATCAGCGTAGTGAGACCCTAATAAGACCAAAAAAAAAAAAATTAAATTCATACCTCTGCCTTGCAACATTTTAATGACCAACCAACAATGAAAAAAAAGCCTTTCATCCTCTCATTGTGACTCATTTCAACTAATACAGTAGCTGTCAATTATGGTTGACATGGGGTCCGGGAGCGAGCTCAGTAGAATAAGCGCCCGCCTGGCAAGTGCAAGGGCCTGAGTTCAATCCCTGGTTCTGCCAAAAAAAAAAAAAAATATGGTAGACACTAGACCACTTGCGTTCAAAATCTAGCTTAGCCACTTCTAAGCTGTGCGACTTCAGTTAAGTTTCTAACTCTTCTATGACTCTCTCTTATCCTCTGTAAAACATGCATTAGTAACATCCACTGCCGAGAATACCTCAGATAAACTCAGTAAAAATATTAACCCAGGGCTGGAGAGATAGCTCCGTGGCACTAGCACCTGCCTGGCAAGTGCAAAGTTGAGTTGGAGCTCCCATACCAAAAAAAAAAAAGC